GGCTGATGCATCCTTGTGCTTGGAAAATTCAGGAGCCGATAATGTAGAGTTTCGGTAGGGTGGGAGTCTGGTAGCTTGGAGAGTGTTGAATGTGACACAGGAAAGCATAGGCCCCTCGCAGAAAAAAAAACATGTCGTGACCTGATCTTTCCAGTGACTGCCATGTCTTCCCTGGCCAAACTTCCACAGCATGGCCATCTCCAAAACAATAAAATCATGGTCGACTCTCTTGCAGTTGAAATGACCAAAGACGTAGGGAAGTACCGTGAAACCAAACTCAAACACGAAAAAAAAACTAAAAAATCCGACTGCAGGATATGGGGATGGGTCAAAACCTTGGTACCTAGTGAACCCCAAAATAGCTGGTAAATGGATGTTCATCCCACTAAAAATGTATCTATAGGTATTGATCCATACCCATATCAGAGTTTTTCAGCGCAACATTCACAGCCATCCCAGATCATCCCAGCCATGTTATCTCGCCATGTCGCATAAGAGCAACGTCCGCAGAGAACCTGAAATGGGGGTTGAGGCTTGGTTGAAAAACGCTTTTCAGCGGGGCATATAGGTTGGTTGACTCAAAATTATTGACTGATAATCAATATAAGCGGATACGGTAGCAACCAGATTTGGGAAAGTCATCAATCGATATTGAACGTATGGGATGTGGTTGAAAGCTGGTTGGATCCCAGTCGATGATGTGCGTCAACCAAAAGTGAGAGTAAAATTGACAAAAATGGAGCATATTCGCTTTACCCTCTAGTAAACTAAGGTAACTATGGAAAATCACCATTTTTAATGGGTAAATCCACTATAAATGGCCATTTTCAATAGCTATGTTAGCTTACCAGAGGGTAAATGGAGAAGCAAACACTCACCTGGATCATTGCTAAAAACGCTGCATTTGCAAAACACCAGCTATTTGGGGCACCTGCTATTGATTTCAAACTTACCAGGTAGTAACTGGTTGCTACTATGAAGTCAAAGACACCCATAATTAATCACCCCAATCGGGGGGTCACCACGAACTATAGTCGCTCACTTAAATCTGTGGTCCACGGTGATGAGGATACAAGGTGCCACATCTAGGAAGACACCAAAAGGACCAAGGTGCCTGAATTGGGGTTCAAGGTGTTCCACGTGATCAGCTAAGTTTACGCATGCAAATACATTGAGTATGCGTGTGTGTGTGTGTGTTTGCGTACTTCTGTAAATCAATGTGTATCTGTGTATATTGCATTGTTGTGTATGGGCCTATGCATACATTTGTATGTAGATTGATGCATGTATACAAATGATGTTTGACGTGTATATTCATGTATGTTAATATGTGTGCATTGATGTTTGTACGCGTGTGATCGCATATATATATATACATATGTGAATTTATTTTGATGTCTTCACATGTATATTGACCCACATATATATATAATGTTCAAAGGTTTGGATACCCAAAAATAGCCATTGGAATATGGAATACTCTACTTTCACACAAACCCATATACACATATGTATATATATATATATAAATCTATTATATATATATGTGTGTGTATACTGTATACATAATACATACATCTCCATATGTATCTTTTTTATAGGAACAAGTCATGTCAGAATGGCCCAGGCACGGACAAAGCGCACCAGGCGCACGATACGAAAGGCCCGGGTGATCTTGGCGATGCGAAGAATTCCTTGGTGCTGCCGTAGTGGGAGGTTCTACTAACCAAGCCATATATACTGGGGATGTTGTGACCCATATGTTATAATCCATATGAAATTTCTATTAATGAGGATTATTACTGCAACCCATAGTAGGAATATTTGCTAACCGACCAGTATATATGAAAATAAGTTGATGCGTTCAGTGTTCAAAACCCTGGTTGGCTGATGATTTTAGTTCGGGGATTATGGAATAGTAACCTTTGAATATTGGGGAATGTCACATTGAATTAGGGGAATCCCTTTCTCAACCAAGCAGGATCCAAAAGGGACGACCCAGGGTTTCTGTTTATTGTTGAAAAACTTATGATCATATCCTTGGGGTTTATGGGATGTTTTCATGGATTTCAATGGATAATTTCATCACTGAACATATTGAAGAAAATGGAGATGTTACATAACGGAGTATAACATTGTTTCATCATGAAAATCGGAAAGCAATTCGGGAAATGGGGCAAGTCATTGGGTGCCCCCGTTTAAAAAAGGGCTAGTCCATCTTGTGTAATTACCGGCTAGTAATTGACCCTTTGAAAAATATGAAAGTCAGTTGGGATGGTTATTCCCAATATATGGAAAAACAAAAAATGTTCCAAACCACCAACCAGTTGAGGTATATAATGTTGGTTTTCGGCTAGTAATTGAGAATCCTTTCCCAGGGGGGGTCATACCATCATTTTTGTACGCCCAAAGATGAAAACTGCGACTAAACATTGGTGCCCAGTCTCGCACTGGTGCCCCTGCAAGATATGTATGATAATTGATATATATTATCACATCCCCTTAATATGAAGTAACACCGCAATTGTATGGTCCCCTATGAATGTGCAAATGTAACCTACCTTTTTGCCATAGTTTCCCCATATCGATCACAAAATGTCCCGTCGAACTTGGTAACACCCAGTGGATTCCCAGTCATACCAAGGTGCGGAGCAGTCGCATGTTTGTGAGCACCTGAGTTGCCCAATGCTGACATTGGACGCAAGTCGGAAACGCTGACCAACTACTGGTGGTTGAGCACCTTTAAAGGAGGCCCCAAAACAAATAGGGGCCCCCAAGCACTCGATGGGATATCATCCAAGCCATCCCTCCCGCCCAGCTCTTGGATCCTGAAATCCACGCCCGTCGAGCCAAGTCGATCGGTGACGAGCCGGATGAGCCATAAAAGAATTCTGGTTGGTGGTTTCAACCCTCTGAAAAATATGAAAGTCAGTTGGGATGATGAAATTCCCAATATATGGAAAGTCATAAAATTCCATGGTTCCAAACCACCAACGAGAGTAATTATTAACCATTAATATCCCATTATTAACCACTATTCACCATTGATTCACCATTGATTCACTATCAATTTACATTGAAGTTTCATTGCTCGTATTCCCATCATAGCCCATTTTTAGCGATGAAATCGCCACAATGCGGCAGCCTACTCCCTTGTGCCTACTCAGCTCCTAGTCACCACACCCCCTGTGGCAGCGGAAATTTCATGAGTAAACTATGTACAGTACATTACACTACCCATCACTACCCTAATCAAACATAGCAGCGGAAATCCCCGAACCAAATGGAGGTTTAGTTCGCTGGGAAAATCATCTGGAAATGTGGTGGATTTTCTAGCAAGCCATGAAGCTGATTACAATGATTAATCATGATTAGCCATTTTTCTTCAGCATTATATATTAAGATATATGAAGTATGATTCGCCATCATGAAGCACTATCAACCACCAGGTAAGTCAAGTCACCATTGAAGAACCCTTTTTTCATTTCTCAATGGATTGGTTTAAGGGAAAATCTACAGGAAACCATGGTTTTTACCATCAAATATAGGGGTTTCCTGTAAATTTTCCCATCATCCAATTCTATGAATTTCTGATTGAACCATAAACTGGGCCCCACGAAAACCCGCTCCCAGCTGGCCCAAGTGGCATTTGCTTGCCCCTCCTCGTCGTTCGACACCACCACCTATGGCATCGCTAGTCAAATGGCCAATCCTCAAACGTGGGATAGAAATATTGACCAAAAGTCATGGCTATGTTTGGGATTGAATGGGATCTACTGGTGGTTTAATGGGATTTAATGGGGTTTACTGCTGGTTTAATGGGATTTAATGGGGTTTAATGGTGGTTTAATGGGATTTAATGGGGTTTAATGGTGGTTTAATGGGATTTAATGGGGTTTAATGGTGGTTTAATGGGGTTTAATGGTGTTTAATGGGATTTATCAAATTTACCCAAGCATTTCAGCCACCCCCGTGCCATTCTGGTGCCTCGATGATGAACTCAAAGAGACTGGTTGCCACGATGATCGTGTCCTGTTCTCGAAGATGGGTTCACTTTTGGTGGAGCAATGAATAGTGAATACCCTCTGGTTATGACTAACATAGCTATGGAAAGATCCACCATGCTATTAATGGGAAAATCCACTATTTCTATGGCCATTTTCAATAGCTATTTTGACATAACCAGAGGGTAGTCACTCGAAGTGGTGGAAATCAATGGTTCGTTCTTGGGAATTTTCATGTGAGATATGAGATATATTGAGATATCACTTACCCTCTGGTAAACTAACATAGCTATGGAAAATCACCATTTTTAATGGGAAAATCCACTATTAATGGCAATTTTCAATAGCTACGTTAAATTACCAGAGGGTATATTCAATGGGAGATCTTCAGGATCCTAAAATGGAGCTACGGTGAGGTACGGTGAGGTACCATATTTTTGGCCATATGAATTGTGGGGGTATTCCCTGAAATTTAGGCCTGAAAAATAGGCCTTCTATATGGTAGGTGCCTCCAATTTAGGTTCCTAAAAATGGCCATTGAAGCAAGTAGACCATAGTAGACCCCTCTACCAGGGGGAACATCATACGATGGTTGCGAAATCCTAAAAACCAGTTGGTAGATGGTTGGAAACACCCCCAAAATAATCCCACTAATTATTTATATTCATCGTGTACATAGGAATCCCAATAGTTACCAACTGGTACAGGATATTTTGTCCATCCACAGTCGTACCATCCTAGGAGATTGACACTTATACGCTATGTGGCTGAAAACACGGCTGATTTATGGCCGGTATCACCTTCACCTTGAACAAAGCCCGAGGGACCCGCCAAATACCTACAAAAAATAGTGAAAAGTAGTAAAATGATCAGAATAATGGGGAAAAAAACACATTCTTGATGGCTACTTACTTGGAGAGTATAGATCAAAAATACATCTCAATGAATTCCTTTTTTTCTGCACATGGCCTCCTTGCCCCAGCCCACATTCCCTTGTCAGGTCTCCAGCAGCATCCAGCCCCAGTCATCACCGCAGAAGATCCAAATGCCCCGCGCGATAAATCGCAGTATGAGTTCCATCGTGAAGAGCATCGTGAATCCAGAGGCGATCCTCATCAGATTCGGGGCTGTCGAAAAAAACATAGGATCCCCAGTCGTCACCATTAAGTGTTGGTGGTATACCTACCCCTCTCAAAAATATGAGTCAGTTGGGAAGGATTATCCCATATATGAAATGGAAAATAAATAAATAAAAACACCAACCAGCCATAGTGTTGTTTCAATACTAAGTCATGGTCTCTCTATAATTTTGGATGATTTGGGGGGACCCTCAGTTGAGATGAAAAGATGTGTAGATGAATGTCTGAAGTGAGACTCCTGAAACTGCTATAAAATGTGTGGGCCACCTTTTGAATTCAAGCATGGTTTCAAATTCAGTGTATCTTAATCACTAAAAAAAGGGGAAATCATCCTAAAAAAATTGGATCTGAACAATCAGAATGGAACGTCGGGATAAGTGGAAGGGATATCGTCCTGGTAAAACAAGGCTTAGGGCTGTGATTGTCATCACAGCACAACTGTTCAGGGGATCTTATCACATTATCATTTCATGGAGATGCACTCACTTTGTCCATGCATAGCTATACCACCATCTTGGGTACAATGCAAACAAACCTGTCATGACAGTCAACCACCAAAGTAGTGGGGCACATGAAGGTTTGGGCAAAACCACAAACCACATCTACAGTATCTTGACTATCTGGCTGATGAGATACTGGATTGCCAGAAGTAAATCCATGCAAACAAAATGCTTGTGTTTTTGGTGAGGAATAAACCCATGGCTGTAGAAAAAAAACGCGAGACCGCAACAATCTGTTTGGCATCATGATTCCCCTTTGAATTGATGGAAGAAGTTCACAATCAACACGAAACCAGTTGATTGTTGATTACTCTTGTTGATGATCTTTATCACTCAATTAACAATGTTGGATTATTAATGATCACTCAATTATCCATGTTATTGGTGGATCTTTATCACTCAGCCTTTACCCCACAATTAACACATGGAAGATCCACCACCCATTGTTCATCATGTCCTTTCGGAAATCCATAGATGTTCGTTCACCGAACGCTTCTCTCCATCTTTTGGTATCACGCAAAAATATCATGTTGTCAAATCTTTCTCCAAAAAAAACACAAAGAAAAATCCCACGCGATAATCTCCAGCTGAAAAAATCCAAAGATCATGAAGAGAAAAAGTGGCATGTCACCTCCGGGATTCTGTGAAGCCCATTCCACCTGCGACGAAAATCTGGGACAGCGATCATTTCGATGAGTGAAGTTCTTCTATAGATTTTTTCAGCAATTTCTAAATCAAAGGGATTCAAGAAAATCTGGACCATCTGGTTATTTTCCATTCACACTTTGCCATGGAAAATCAACACCGTGCGGTGCGTTTTTAAGAACGGTGTTTACCATCCATAAATGGCCATGGTCGGTTCACATTGGACCTTCCATCGGCCATCAACGGCTTGCTGGTTGACCTACCCTACCCGAAAAATGATGGACACCATTGGAGAAGTCGTCAGGGGATGATTTTCCATTCCATGGATCCAGTCACCGTCAATCAGCATCAAAATCCAACAGCCTGAAGAGGATCCAACAAAAACCCAAGAGGATCGATCACAAATAAACTAAGTTTTTTTTCGTAGAAAACGATCCAAGTCTATTGATGATGAAGATGTTTGTTTTGCAAACAAACAAAGCAGATATGATTAGAACATCAAAATCTATGTTCTAGTAGAACGTTCTACAGTATCTGAATCATGAAAGTCTTGAGAAAAGAAGAAAGCTTTCAGCTTAAAGAAAACAATTAAGAATGTCATTCCCTGAATTTATCAGAAATCATTAACGACTGGCCTGCACAGCGATGAAAATGCTGTTGGTCACCTAGATCGCACGGATCTGTTGGAGGGGAGTCCGACTCGTCCGACTGGTCCGACATAGAAATATAACATAATATAACCATCCAAGAGACCAGGTATAACTGTATAACCATAGAAAAATGATGTATAATACACTATAGGTACCATCCAAGAGAATAGGTGCACAAAAAAAAATGGTTATAAATTATAAACGATAAATGGTGTATAATAATCCGTTGGATATAATAATCTTAATGTAGACCCATTTCTATGAGAATATTGAATATAATGGTATAGACATCTGAAATGTGAGATTGAAAAACCCCAAAGACCGGGATTAAGACCCGACCGGGATTTTTCAACATCCTGTTGGAAAATGAACCAGTCCATCCTTCGCAAGGAAAATAGAGATTCAATGGGAAATCCAGGATCCTAAAACGGAGGTACGTTAGTACCATATAAGGTACGTTAGTACCATATGTTTGGCCATATTTTGTGGGGATATTCCCTGAAATTTAGGCCTGATTTTTCGGCCAAAAATATATGGAATCGGTACCTCCGTCCTCAATCGCTTCCCAACCCCCCAAAGATAGAAAAATGACGGCTGATCAGCGAAAAACTAACCAATGGGGTGACAGCGACATGGGGTGAAAGTGACATCCTGAAATGGGGATGTATAACATTGTATAACCAATATCATATGAAATACGTTGAAATACCCTAAATGGTATTTCAACTATAGATGAATGGGTACAGATCTAAACCAGCGTTTCGATTGGGGGAATTTCATATTTAGGCTGGAACATAGTACTCTAGGGCTTCAGGGGCGCTTCCCGCCACTGGTTGGTTCACAGGACTACCGATAATTACAACAATCTCAATGGCGTCAAAATGCAAAAAAAAAAAAACGCCCGAGAGATTTCTATCCAAATGGGCAGGCAAATTTAGGGGACTCAAGTAGCCAGGCTTCTCCACCGCTAACTACGGCTGCAATTGCTGATCTCCCCCTTTTGTTGGTTTGAACACACTATGTTCATCCATTTTCAAGCAAGCAGAGTTAAGTCCAACTGCCCGCAACACATCTCTCTTGTTTCCCCCAGAAATGTCCAGCTTCCCTTCACATCATTCACGCGAAATTTTGTCCAAACATCCAACCGATGTAACCGCTAAATCAATGCACAAAATATGTTTGCTCGATGCTTAAGTCAGTAACACCAAATTATTGCTTGACTCTAAGATACCAAGTCCCCAGTAACCACAATCCCCATCACTACCATCCCCATCGCTGAAAAAACTATTGGTAATGATAGAGAAGATACAAAATACTATCACTAATACCAAAAATAGTAAGAATAAAAACCAATCATTCCCATAATGATATCCAGAAATCTCCACTAATGATATCATTATATCCCCTTTTTGACCAAATTGCGTCCGACAAAGTTTTGTCCACGGCACGATGATGCTGGCGAAGAAGGCTTCGAAGAACCAGCCTGCCACGAAGTCCTTGATCTTTCTCTGCACGAAGCGCAGCCAAGACTCCTGAGACGCGCGGAAGCGTTGGCTGCTCACGGTGAGGAAGGCTTGGGAAGGGATGGGGAGATTTGCTTCGCAAAACTTGGGGGTGTATCAGTTCTATATATATATATACATATATATATATATACAGTATATACATTTATATATATATACATATATATATATGTATACACTTCTATATATATATATATTGCTCTGTGTTTCTGGATATTGGAGGATGGGTCTGTGCTTTTGGCAAGACTTGGGATTTTGACATTAATCAGAAGATGGATGGAAAAACAAACATATAACGTTACAATATAATGTATGTATGTATATGTATATAATATAGATAATATATATATAATATATAATCACCATTAATTGGTTGGACATTATCATTTCTTCAACCCGAAAAAAAAAAAAACACAACGGAACAAGAGGGCTTTTTTTTTGACAACTCCATGATGAGTTCATCCACATTGCACCGAAAATCACCCTCGCCACGGTGAGTTGATGAATTTCTGGGTAAATTAGAATAATCCAGTAGTTCTGGATGATGTGAACGATGATCTTTCAATATTTCCTACTACATGTACCTACAATATATATATATAGTCTTATATATATATGGGTAAATTATAATAATTCACTAAGCTGAAATAAGGCCATTTGGGGATTCCCCTTACTAACCATGATTCCCATTGAGGGAGAACAGTGAGGTCGTTATAATTTACCCAGATGAATTGATAAGGTTTATGAAAAATCCCGAAAATGCTAAAAGTGCCTAGATATGCGCAGCTACCATCCAACTCAATCCGGATGTTGCCAACTTCCTTGTTTCTGTTCATTCTGATTGGGCTAAACTCCAACTTTTGTTGACCCAACCCCATTCTGGGCGGTTGTTTATGGCTAAACTTCCCATTTTCGTTGGTTGGAAGCTGCATGGTGGACGACGTCGACTCCGTCCTCTGGCTGCTTGTCATATTCGGCCAGGCAGCCCTGGCAATGGCATAGTCTGGCATAGTCTGGCTATGTGAAAATTGATGAAAAATTGGGTACATCTCATGATTTTGTGAAAAATCTTGGCAACAATAGTAATGTACCCAATTTATATGGCGACAGAACTAGTTTTGACTCTATTTCAAGGCGGAGATTCTCAGGTATGTAATCATCCTGAAAAACATTCCCATTTTGGTGCGGTATACAATGTCTCGGGTTTAACCGACAATTATCAGATAGATGTGTATATATATATACATATTTATATATATATATACATATGTATATATATATATACATGTATATATATATATGTATATATATATGTATATATATATATATGTATATATATATATGTATATATATATATGTATATATATATATATATATGGATGGGTATATAATAGGAATCCCATCATTTAATCCAAAACCCGTGGAATGGTTGAGAAACTTGCAGCGTGTGCTGTTTGAAGGCTAAGCTAGCGTTCTGAAAACAGGGCCATTTTTCATGTGTACGTCTTCAACCAATTCCACCTGTCTTGGGTCGGCTGAGAAGTCACTATTTCAAGTATGCGCATCGCCGAGCAACCGGCTGTTTGGGGGCCACTAGGGGCTAACACCCGTGCCATTCCTGTTAAAGGGTTTTCCCATGGGGCTATTCAAAAAATTGGTCGCTATCTTAATTTGCCTATCTGGTGCCCTGTTCCTAATGGTGACCTATTTCGCTGTTCATGGATCGATTTTTTTTGCGATTTCACAATTAGGTTCGGGCAGGTGGCACGCACAGAGGTTGGCAAGGTCCGTAAAGAACGGTTGTAACTTGCTTCCGGTCAAATCGTACCATCTACCCTCTGGTAAACGTTCACATAACGAACTGGAAAATCACCATTTTCAATGTGTAAATCCACTAATTCTATGGCAGCCCTTAATAGCTATGTTAAATTACCAGAGGGTATCTTGTTTTGGCTTTGGCAAAATCAATTCGACACACTGTGCGCTTAGGTTTGCCAATCCCAATGCTGTGCTTGCCAGCCTGCTCTCGGCGTGCTTGCATTTTGAAGGGAAGGCATTTGGTGTACGCAAAGCTGCTGCCAAGTGGTTTCCCGATTTTAATCTTCTTACTGCTGCCGATTGAGTGCATGTCTTTCGCGTTCCATAGTCCAAACAACCCCAAGCGGTCATCGTCTTTGAACCCTGTCAGCGCTCGTCTGGCGCGAAGGTGTTGGAGAAAAAAATCTAAATCCCTATCTGGTTGGTGGTATACCTACCCCTCTGGGGAATGTGAGTTCGTCGGTTGGGGTTGCTATTCCCAGTATATGGAAAGTCATAATCCATTCCATGGTTCCAGTCAGCACCAACCATGGATTGATCCGATCGCCCCATTTTTCACCGCAACTTAAAAAAGGGGCTATTGAAATATCGAATCCCCCAACCCCCCCATTTTTGGGCCCCATTTTTGGGGCCCAAAAAAGATTCTCCCAACTGCCTTTGGGACGACAAAGGCCACAGAGCTCATACTTGTGGTGGCACCAGGAGAATCCTCAAAAAAAAAGGATCGGATCCCAAAAGGATCCGAATAAGGTGAATGGAGAAGCCATGAGAACAAAAAACCCGGGGTAGAACTAGAAATACTGGGAATATCATGGGACAATGGTGATTTAATGGGTTTTAATGGGTTTTAATGGTGATTTAATAGATATACCCTCTGGCAAACAAACGTAGCTATTGAAAATAGCCATAGAAATAGTGGATTTACCCATTAATAGCATGGTGATGTTCCAGTTCGTAGTGCCTGAAATTCAATATACCCTCTGGTAAACCTACAAAAAAACTATGGAAAATCCCCATGTTTAATGGGAAAACTCACTATAAATGACCATTTTCAATAGCTACGTTAGTTTACCAGAGGGTATGTATATATATATATGGGTGTCTAGTGTGTGGGTGGCATAACTAGGTTGTCGTCCATTTTGCGGTGGAAAAACTGGGTCCGGAAAGCCGGAAAGGATGCAACTTGACTTCCTGCTGGTGTCTGGCCCCCCAATATTCTCGGGATCCTGAAATGCAAATAGGATACCAAGCCCTGAAATGCAATGGTCTGTCATAATTTTGCTCACTAAAATGGCACAATGTTCATGTTTATCATGTTTTCTCCCAAAGAAAATGGCATTTTTTGCCCATTTCTGGAGCAACCGCGGCTGCGCCGGACTGGAACAGCCTGCCTCTGGGTGTAGATCGGCAGTTCTGGCGTCGGAGCCCAAAACCCCCGTGTTTTGTGCAGCGGAAATCACGGTGGATTCAGGGGATTGTTTTCCACATATTTTTTTGGGACCAGTCAATGGATTGGTTTAAGGGAAAAATTACGGGAAAGCCTCATATTTCATGGGGAAATCTATGGTTTCCGGTTCAGATTTTCCCCAACAAACCAATCCAATGAACCAGAGAATGGGGCTGTTTCATATGAGCGGCTTGGGACTAAAAAATAACAATTGCATTAATGGCATACACTAACCATCACGGTCACAGTTTAAGAACCACCATCACAGTGGTGTTTAAATCACCAACTGGATCAAAATCAATCAAAAATAATGTGGGATTCACCCAGTGCCATGACCTACCAGTTGGGGAGGATTTCAATCCCATTTGTTGTAATATTGTGGATGGTTTTTTTTTGGGAGTACCCCATTAGCATACAATAACCATCATGGCAATAGGAGTAATCAACAAGAATGTAGTCGTGGTTGTGGCTTTGAAAGATACTGGCAAAAATGACCCTACTGATAAAGCCTATCACGGGGGTGGCAAGAATAACAATAAGAGTGTTGATACAATGACCGCAACAAAATATAAATTTAAAAAAATAAGATGACCATTATCAATGGTCATCATCAATTATCATGATCATGTATACATTTAAAAAAAAACGCCCTCGCCATCGTCGTCACCATCACCACCATGAAAAAAATATGGACTACAGAGGCTACAGAAAGAAACAACAACTGTTTTACTGCGGTAAGCCCAATCGCAAACAATCCATTTTAAACACCACCCATTCGAGAGTAATAGAACGTCATTTCACATCATCCTGGAATCCTAGATAGAGGTATACCCAACAAAAAACCTCTACTGCGGATGGTTTATTTTGGGGTTTACCACATTAATACTGTTGCAAGATTCAAGGACGGTCATGTGTCTAAAGATTGGGTGCCAACCTGTCTAATCTCACGGATACCCCTGGCAATCTGGCAATCGGACACCCGAGACCTTGTAGCGAATGGCCATCGTATGAGTCAAGACCAAACGGCACCCGAATGGCACACGAATGGCACCCGGATGGCACCCGGATGGCACCCGGATGGCACCCGGATTTTCATAGCTGGGATTTGTGGTTGTTGATTCTCCCAGTCAGATGGTAACAAGAAGTTTGACCCATCCCCAAATTAACCTCAGTTGGAATTTAGAAAGCCTGGGCATCCAACCAACCCCCGTCATCACAGCTTCGACTTGCTTTGGTGTTTGATCCGCTCTGTCGTTGGGACTCCCAAAAGGAATCCCGATCTCATCGACCTAATATTAAAAAGCCCCCAAACACCATCGTTTAGTCGGGGATGGGAAAACATATTTAGCTGGGTCCAAAATTCGTGGGGCTGTTTGATCTATGAACTCCGGATGGAGATAAAATAGATGTATGATGTGTATTTGGCTAGCTCAGAAAAGGTGGACACCTCACCTTTAGTAGATGTGCGTCTTGCACCAAGCGGTGCAAACCCAACGTTGCTTGAAAAGGCCCACATACCCTCTGGTAATTTAACATAGCTATTGAAAATGGCCCATCTATAGTGGATTTTCCCATTAATAATGGTGATTTTCCATAGCTATGTTAAATTACCAGAGGGACCATCCTGGAAATCCCACGGTGGCTCGCCAATTCCCAGGCCCACCTCACGCGCACAGTGACTTTATGGCTGCGCCGCCTGCGCGGCAACCGCTGGGGAAAGGACCCAGGCAGCGCCAGGAACGGGGGCATCTTACCACGGTTAGAAATGAGGTGTATATATATATACTATATATATACTATATATATATACTATATATATATATATACTATATATATACTATATATATACTATATATATACTATACATATATATATACATACTATGTATATATATACACTATATATATGTGTGTGTGTGTCCACCTATAACATATATATATATATACATATGTACAGATACGGATATGTCTCTGTATCTATCTATTTATCTATAGTTATTTAACTTTCTGATATCCTGGAAGTTGGGACTAACAGATAGCTTCAAACTGTTCTTTCCCAATACATCACAAGCAGAATGAATCATAAGTAGAATGAATCATATAAACAAGAGTGATTAGATCATAATTCATAATTATATCATATTATATCCCACTTTCTAATCAGATCACTGAGAATTTTGGTTGATTCGCCCATCTCTGTGTTTGATGGATACAGTAAATGGCCATGTTTGTTGGCTTCTTGGCTAGATCCAGATCCTCGAAATCGGTCAAATCCCAACCTTTGATCCCAAGATCCCACGGGGTTCCTAGAGTGGGTACCCCCAAATCATTCATTTTAAGAACATTTTCCATCAAATAAACCATCAATTTCGAGGTACCCCCATGACTATGGAAACCTCCATTTAAACCCATGTTTCTTACGTTTCAATCCAAAATTGCCGGCGGCCCTCGCCTGGGTTTCTCTGGATTGGAGTGGGAGGCGTTGGAGTGCGACGAATGCACGGACCCATCTGATGGCACCTTGACTAAAGCTGAAGGGAATGCAGTGATGGAAGTATGTTTGCAGATTCATGGTATACAAGTTGCGTGAACAGATGTCCGGTCCTTTGTACATGATAGTGAAATAGTCATAAAATGCTTCGTGTGTGTGTGTGTGGGTGGATGCATAATTCATATAGTTGTTTGTGTAAGTGCACATACAGAATCATGCAGGTCTGTAGGTACTGCTCCAAGATGGCAAACCTTACCAGTTGCCAACTTGCGCAAGAAGTCATCATGTTTGGCCTGTGTCATTTGACGCGCCTGACTGATAGACATTCAGAGATTCAGAGGTGCCAAGTGGAGACCCCAGATGCTAAAAGTAGCAACCACAACAACCACAACAACCACAACAACCACAATTACATTGGGGAAGCCCTGCTAAAAGGAAACATATTGCAACAGAGCTCACAGATGATACAAAGCACATAAAACACACGTGTGCGGAGCCCGTCACTATCTGTGCAATGGTCAAGCTGCATGGAATTCGTTTTTGGTACCGTCGTCCCAGCATCATGAGGGATTCCATATTGCGAGTATACTAACCCCTATTATTGGGGGATGACCATCCCCTTCTTTTGGACAAGTAATGTAATATCTATGTGTATGTATTTCTGTGTGTGTATGTATGCATTTTATATATATATATATATTATATATATATAAGATGCATGATGTGATGTGGTTGGACAACCATGTTGCTTCTGCGTCTTCCCATGTTCATCCATGTCCATGGTTCAGATGGTCAACCGTCTCCAAGGTCTGTGTTTTACCACGGAAAATCCGATGAAAACCTCCATCGGTTGATGAAACCATCAAGTGGCTTGGTTCAAAAATCTGGGATGGATTGTGCAAAAAAAAAAATGCCCCTTAAAACGTGGTCTTAACAATGATCAACCGGAGAATATGGGCACCAGATTTCCCGCAAATCCAAGTGAAAATCGCAATGTCATTAGTCATTTTAGCAAAAATTGTATATTCATAGGGGTTCCCAGTTCATGGATTATGATAATACCGAGTATAGTGGGTAGTATAATCCCCAAACTAATCATCGGCCAACAGCAGTTTATATACCCGTTGTGACTGCTCGCCTTGCCGGACGAGTTTGGATCCAAAGATGGCGGTGTCGCGGATATCCTTGGGTGCCACTGAATGGTGTCTGTTCCCATAAGTCTTGGCAATTTCAATTCGGAAAAATGATAGGAAAGCCATCAAAAAATTGTAAACATTCGGTCTTAAGCCATTGAAACTCTGGGGTAATTCTCCTGGTTTCAGACAAAGCCATGTTTTTAATCGGGTTCATCCAGAAGAGTCTATGAATGAATGTGATCTGAGACAAGCATCGTGGTTTTTGTTCGGGCTGGTTGACTCCCCCTGGAAACATATGGATATCCACCATTATACTGATTAATTGACTAGTCAGGTATGGTTCATGGTGAATTGGCAGCTGCAGCATAACCCATGTAGAACTAGTGTTAACCAGAATAATAATCATGATAATAATAAATCATAATAATAATAAATCATAATAATAATAAATCATAATAGTAAGAATAACAACAATGATAATATATACTGTATATGTCTGAATACATACCAACTGGTACAGTATGAGGCTCGGCTCGGATGCTCCGGATGAAGGTTTAAGCGGCATGGCTGGTTGCCACGGTTGCCACCGTAGTTATGGCTAAGATTCGCCCCAAAAGTGGTAGACCTGAAAAATCATTGGAGGCTTCACCTTCAGGGGATAGCTGGGAAAAAAACGTCTGTAAATATATATATATATAATATTATATTATATATATATATATCATAGGATATAATATATATATATATATTATATACCCTCTGGTTATGACTATATACCCTCTGGTTATGACTAACAGTTTGCCATGGAAAATCACCATGCTATTAAGAACGATAAACCATCTATTTCTATGGGCCCTTTTCGGCGAGGGGCTCACATCGGGCATAAATTCGGGCTCACTTTGGGCATAATTTTTTGAGGTTCACTTGGGGCATATCTGGCTCACTTGGGGCATATCTGGCTCACTTGGGGCATATCTGGCTCACTTGGGGCATTTCTGGGCTCACTTGGGGCATATCTCGGCTCTCTTAGGGCATAAATGGACTCACTTTCAGCAAAAAGGGATCACTGTGGCCATCAAGAGAAGAGTACGACTTTATATCTTCCACTTGATGCAACAAGAGGCACGACACCTTTAGGGTTTATATGTTGTTGCACTTAATATAAGACGAGCCACGGCACCTTTAGGGTTTATATGTTGTTGCACTGAATATGGGAAGGGCCACGACACCTTTAGGGTTTATATGTTGTTGCACTGAATATGAGAAGGGCCACGACACCTTTAGGGTTTATATGCTGCTGCACTCAATAGAAGAAGACCCACGACACCTTTAGGGTTTATATGTTGCTGCACTTAATGTAAGAAGAGCCACGACACCTACTTTAGGGTTTATATGTTGTTGCACTTAATATAAGCCACGACACCTTTAGGGTTTATATGTTGTTGCACTGAATATAAGCCACGACACCTGTAGGGTTTATATGTTGTTGCACTTTATGTAAGAAGAGCCACGACACCTTTAGGGTTTATATGTTGTTGCACTCAATGTAAGAAGACCCACGACACCTTTAGGGTTTATACGTTGCTGCACTTAATGTAAGAAGAGCCACGACACCTTTAGGGTTTATATGTTGTTGCACTTAATGTAAGAAGAGCCAGGACAGCTACTTCAGGGTCTATATGTTTTTGCACTTAATGTAAGAAGAGCCACGACACCTTTAGGGTTTATATGTTGTTGCACTTGATGTAAGAAGGGCCACGACACCTTTAGGGTTTATATGTCGTTGCACTTAATGTAAGAAGGGCCACGACACCTGTAGGGTTTATATGTTGTTGCACTTGATATAAGAGGAGCCACGACACCTTTACGGTTTATATGTTGTTGCACTTAATGTAAGAAGAGCCACGACACCTTTAGGGTTTATATGTTGTTGCACTTAATGTAAGAAGAGCCACGACACCTTTAGGGTTTATATGTTGTTGCACTTAATGTAAGAAGGGCTATGACAGCTGCCGTATGAAGTGAACGAAACATAACATCCAGGCACCGAATCACGCCCAGCACAGTTGCATTTAGATGCGCCGTATATTAGGTCAACTAATCAGACAATGAACTCAACGCGACACAAGGAGCACAGATACTTTTAGATACGCCATAACGAAAAGTTAAGGCATCACAGAATGAAGTGAACGAGACACGCCGTGCTGAGTTGCACTGTGGCACCCGGTAATACTTCCTCGCTCTTGCGCGGAGCCTTACACGGTGCCTATGTAACAACTTTACGCCCGGAGCAAGACCAAAGTTACGCCCGGAGCGAAACCAACTTTGCGCCCGGAGCGAGACAAATTTACGTCCTAAGCGAACCCCCGCCCGCCATTTTCCATGGCTATGTTAAATAACCAGATACCATCAATGGGAGATCTTCAGGATCCTAAAATGGAGGTACGTAAACGTACCACTTTTCAGGCCATATTTTGCTGGGATATTTCCTTACGCCTGAAAAATAGGCCAAAAATATGGAATCGGTACCTCCGTCCTCAATCGGTTCCTGTTGCATGGCCATTGAGTTTATGAGAGTTGAATGTTATGGTTGTCTCTCACTTCATCAGAAATTACACTAAGGGCCCCAGTTCGAAGTTGATAATCCCATCTGCCATGTATGTCCACCATAAATCCACATGGGGCATTCCTGGCGTGAAAACAAACCATTTGTTTCGAAGCGATCAGTCATCCATTCGGCATGGATTAATTCCCTACAATGGCTGGTGAAATCAGAATTTTGAGATGCTTAAGTCCTATTGATAAAAGCTTCAATCACCAAACTATTGATATGAAACAACAAACTAATGATTGATCATCATTATATTAGTGATTTTGTATCATATATTGATAATATGATGACTAGCTGGTTGGTGGTATTTCAACCCCTCTGAAAAATATGAGTCAGTTGGGATGATGAAATTCCCAACTGAATGGAAAAGTAAAATATGTTCCAAAGCACCAACCAGTATAGTAATATAATAATTAAAATGAAGAGAAAATAATAGTACTAATGATAGTAATATATATATAATAGGTATGTCCGTAACTCTTCAAAGTTAGGTTCCATTCACGTCCGAGAATTTCAGCCAGTGGGGATTGTTAATATCCTATATTGTTAATATCAATGGATTGGTTTAAGGGAAAATCTACAGGAAAGCCCCATATTTAATGGGAAAATCTATGGTTTCCTGTAAATTTTCCCTTAAACCAATCCAATCATAATATGATGATTAGTTACAAGGATTGATATGACCCCTACCGAACGCGAAATGCAAAAAACGAGCTGCTTGCTGACTTTGGCGCCGCTCCGTTCCAGCGACGTCCTGGTGCAGAGACATCTTGGGAGAAAGGAAGATGAAATTTGGAAGAATTCCTAAAAATCATAGAATTGGATTATGGGAAAATTTTAACCGGAAAGCCCATCAAATTTGATGGTAAAAACCATGGTTTCCTGTAAATTTTCCCTTAAACCAATCCAGTGAAAAAAATGGTGTTCCACTTCGATACGAGAATTCAGATAAAATCGGGATTTGGAAAATGCTAACAAATTCATTGATAATTCATAATAATTCTAATGAACAAAAAATCGGATGCAATTTTGGGAAATAGGTTTTTTATCAATACGAAAATTGGGAGAAAAAAAGGACGGAATGTGGAAATGTACTTTTTTGTATCTAACCAACAAAAGTTGCGGCTCATGGTTCAGTAGCCATGCTTTGCTTCCCCACTTATCAATGGGATGATGCTAGGACTGTACTTACGATCACCAGGGATACCAACCTGACAGGGATGCATGTCCAAGTACTCCAAGAAAATTGACATGGAACTATGGAACCGGTCCTTCCAAAAAACAATCAATGGAACCACATCAACTTGCTTATTCCATGTGAAATCTTAGGGGTGCAAATCGTAACTGGCGTGGATTTTTCCATACCTTTCTTCCTTTGTGCCAGGTTCAATCCCCTGGAGACTCAAACAAGGCCCCATTTTCGTTGGGAATGTCCCCCATTTTTGACTACTACAAACCATCAAGGAATGTTCCATCGCCATGTTGGGGGGAAGGTGCAACTACTCATTCTATCAAGAAGCCCTCCTTGACTAGTGGAACTACCCCAAAAAAGGATGAAAATTGATAATTCTGACAAATGGTTCTAAGAACGGGCCCCAAAACTCAACAAGTTCAACAACCCAGAGATTTATCAAAATCTGAGTTTCAACATCTTTCAACCTTTGCCCTTTGCGCGACTTGCTATGGCCGGCCCCACAGCACGCACGCCACGTTTCGCCCAGGCCCCCCTCGCAACGCCAACCGCCCAGGGACTTGACCAGCAAAGTCATCTTTGTCATCCAATCCTGGCGGCCAAAAATGGCTGATGGCTATTGCTATGGAAAATTTTTTGGTGTAAAAAAATATATATGTAATATATACATATTAATGTATGACTATATATGTATCATTACTAATTACCAATAGTTTCGATGATGATGATGATGATGATGATCATCATCATCATCATCGTCATCGTCATCGTCATCGGCATCATCATTGTCAATATGCCTCCCCAAGGATCTTTAGGACATCTTCAAGGCCATCTGCGGGGATCTTCTGCGGAGCTAGCGTTTTTTTTGCGAGCCAACAGCTCGCATGTATCGCCTATGGATCTCAGTATCAGGTTTTCATGAAATCTGACCATCTGGAATGGACTGGATGAACCTCTGAAAGTTTCCGCTATATTAGCATATATATGCATATATTAGCTATGGTGTTTGTTGAAAAGACTTTGTGGTTGCGGTTTGCCATAATGCCGTAGTCATTCAAAAAATGGATGGTTATCATCTGCTGGCATTCCAGCCTGCACGGGCAGTGTGCTTCTCACCGTTTCACGAGAAAACGCATCACCATGCACCACAGCAAATACCAATTAATTCAATTTCGTCCAAATTAGATCATAGTGAAATCACACTGACATGTCCAAAAAAAGATCTTTTGCCACTTTAAACAGAAAGAACGAACAGAAAGAACTCCTTCGACCCAGCACGACTCCTCCAACAGCTCTTCCATGCGCGCATCGTGCTGTCGCAAGATCTGCTGAAATTCGTCCGCCTCCAGGCCTGCCGCAGAAACGAACCAAAAACGCTGAAACAGCCAAGCATAAAAAGTGCCTATTTAGATTTGATGATACATGTAAATAAATACGCGTATAACATATATATACATATATGTATATATATATATACTTAATGTAATAAATATTATAATATATATATATATGTATATATATATATATCACTGTATATACTGATATACATGTACTGTGTCTAGAACAAAAATATACAAATGCCGGGTATCTCCTTAGCCGCAAACTTGCCGAGCTGATTGGGGTTGCGGTTTTCAAGTCTGCTGAGGATGCAGGGATGCAGCCGCCGGCAGTAGAAATCCACATCATTTCACGTGGGAAAACATCTGAAAATCATTGAACATGGAGATATGATGAGATATGATGAGATATGATGAGATATGATGAGATATGAATATATATATATATATGAATATATATATATATATATGAATATATATATATATATATGAATATATATATGAATATATATATATATGAATAAATATGAATATATATGAATATACATGAACATATATGAATATATATGAATATATATGAATATATATGAATATATATGAATAAATATGAATATATATGAATATATATGAACATATATGAATATATATGAATATATATGAATATATATTCATATATATTCATATATTTGAATATATTTGAATATATATATATATATGAATATATATGAATATATATGAAAATATATGAATATATATGAATATATATGAATATATATGAATATATATGAATATATATGAATATATATGAATATATATGAATATATATGAATATATATGAATATATATGAATATATATATGAATATATATATATATGAATATATATGAATATATATATATGAATATATATGAATATATATATATGAATATATGAATATATATGAATATATATATATGAATATATATATATATATGAATATATATTTGAATATATATGAATATATATGAATTTATATATATATATGAAAATATATATATGAATATATATATATATATATGAATATATATATATATGAATATATATGAATATATATATATATAAATATATATATACACATACATATAGAATTTCCAAAGGGTTCCAAAAACCATCTGAGCCCCTGCCAAGTGACCATGCGGTTTCCCACCACGTGCTGGACTGAACTGGATGTCCTGCAGGTGGAAGAACCAGCGTTCTGCGTGAATGGAAAAAAGTTTGGCCGAAAACCATGTTTTTACACATAAATCTGGGTTTTCCGGTTTCAAATGCCCATAGCGTTTTGGTCAGCAAATAGAGCAGCTATTGCTGGGTGTAAGGTGTCTCTAGATAGGTCTAGATAATATAAGAAAATATCCCCAATGACAGGGCTGCTAGTTGATACTTTTTGCCTCACCCTCTGGATGTTAAATCATATTAAATCCACATCTGGGAAATGGTGATTTGATATGTGATCTCAAAGGTTTGGACCATGCAATCAATTTGCGAATCAAACAAATGATTTCCGGAAACTTCTGATGTATGATTTTTGCCGGAACTCTGATGATGATGATGATGACGACGATGGTGGTGATGGTGATGGTGATGGGTGATGGTGCTGGTGATGATGGTGATGATGGTGATGATGTTCATGACGACCGTGACAATGAAACTAAAGTTTCGTTTTTGGCCCTTTTCAATTCCCCCCTGTACAACTTTTGAAAAATGACAACAGTCGCGAGCCTCTCAGATGCCCGGCACCATGTTTTTGCGTATGATGTGTGGGCACAATCCATCTTTTGATTATCTTTTATGGCCACTGCTTGTATTCAGTGGATTGAATTGGGGGAAGTGCGGACCTTCTTACCTCATTTCGAGGCTTCAATCGCAATTTTCTGTTCCAGGATCTATGGGCCTATGGGTATGGCGATGGCTCAAAATCGACACCCATTTTGGGATCATGACATACCCTCTGGTAAACTAACAGTTTGCTATTGAAAATGGCCCAGTCGAAATAGTGGATTTTCCCATTAAAAATGGTGATTTTCCATAGTTATGTAAACGTTTACCAGAGGGTAACAAAATCCACAGCCATATGTGGGTCCCTTGGGACCCCATGTCGACACCTCCTCTTGGAGCGCGTCGGGCTGCATTGGCCGCACAGCTTCAGGTGAGACCTGTACGGTGAAGCATTGGAGAGTGACAATCATTACATTTTAGTAATTACCTATCATTACTATCTAGTAACTATAGTATAATAATTACTATTTAATATAGTCCATATGATAATTCATTATATATATATAAATATCAATTATAGCAATTACTATAACCATAGTAACTATGGTAATATATAGTGAACCAGTGCAATTATAGTAAATAAATAAGTACTATTGTCACTGTCATTAAAGTCATTACATATCATAATAGTCACTATAGTTACTATAATTACTATAACAACTGTTTGAATTCTGAGAAAATAATAATAGCGATGATATTAATGATGGCAATGATCGTAGTAAAAATAATAGTAATAGTATAATGTAGTAATGACAATGATTACTGTATTCATACTACGATAATGATAGTAATGATTTAATGATAGTAATGATAAGGATGCCTAAAATCTTATGATAGGAAAAGTATAGTCCTATGATTATTAGAATAATGATGATTCTATGTTAAGAATATAGAAATGGATAGTAATTGGGATATGTATCATGTGTATATATATATATATGTATACAATACTTGGATCTTCCAACTCTTCATGTTCATGCCCTTTCCCAAAAAGGCACAAATTTATGGCGGCTTGATGGAAAAACACCTGTTTCATTAAATAATGACTTTTGTGCACAAAAAGAGTCTGCTAAAGAACCATGAAACCAAGGTTGGGTAAAGTCGTCTATTCAGAAATGCATGTGGTCGGGGAAAGTGGCCTTTTGAACCAAAAAGTATATCTCAACCCCGAAAAAGAAGCAGAAATTGGTGCAAAAATGGGTTCAAACATGATGTTGAATAGGATAGATCATGCTTACATCTTTTTGGTGATTACTACAATCATGATGGTGATATGCTATGATGAAAATAATGTTGATAAAGATGATAAACGTGATTGCATTGGTAATATTGATAGCAACACATTAACTATATGAATAATATTGAGAACACTCTACTGGTCATACTAAATATCAAGAATTATATTGATGATATTGATCGTACTATATAGTACTGATGATCATGAGGACAATATGGAGTTTTTAGCCAGAGAAAAACGACGATTAGACAGGCCATATTCTTTAGTGACGCTGGAATATTTGCTGCAGTTGTATTTCTATACGCATTGCTGCTGTCAATAGTGGAACCACCAACCAGCCCTGTCCTCCATTATCAAAGGCTCAGTCGCCCCATTTAAAGTTTGTGAATCTCCTATCTGGCTAAACCTGTCAGTTGCGTAGGTCACACCCAAAATTCAAGCTAATTCCCAGCAATTCAACGTGGCCCTAACAAAACGATAATGTTCAGATCCGGAAAGTCAAAATCCTCTTCGAAACCCATTTTCTATTGGTTTAGATTCTAGATCCGAGGTGCATTGCATTCAACACTGCAATCTTATGCTTGGATTCTCATCCGATGTCATAAATATCTCTATATGTTTGCAATGTATACCTTTGATGGGACACATTCCAAAAAGGAAAACCGCATTTCCAGAATCAATAAGCGCAATGACTGTATTCAATATTGATCAATATTGTAAATGTCAATGATCTGTATACTTTACACCAAGTGATCCAACACTGACTTTTGTCTGAAAATTCCCAGCAGCTTCATCTTCTCTTTCCCATGAACATAATTGAAATACCCTCTGGTAATTTAACATAGCTATTGAAAATGGCCATTTATAGTGATTTTTCCCATTAAACATGGTGATTTTCCATAGTTTTTTTGTAGGTTTACCAGAGAATATACTGAATTTCAGGCACTAGTAGCCTCTGGTAAAGCCACATGGCTTGCCTTTTTATGGTCCCATGAACTTCGATAATTTTCCCAGCCATTTTTGATGACACCGGAGGCTATATCCCCTTGAATATCTTCATTGTATCCCATTATTTATGTATATATATATATATATGATCTTATGTGATTATATATGATTATATATGATTATATATGATTATTTATGATTATATATGATTATATATATATGCATATAAAAGATTGTATATGATTATTTATGATTATATATGATTATTTATGATTATATATGCATATAAATGATTATATATGATTATATATGATTATATATGATTATATATGATTATATATGATTATATATGATTATATATGATTATATATGATTATATATGATTATATATGATTATATATGATTATATATGATTATTTATGATTATATATGATTATATATGATTATATATGATTATATATGATTATATATGATTATATATGATTATATATGATTATTTATGATTATATATGATTATATATGATTATTTATGATTATATATGATTATATATGATTATATATGATTATATATGCATATAAATGGTTATATATGATTATATATGATTATATATGATTATATATGATTATATATGAATATATGTGATTATATATGCTTATATATGATTATATATGATTATATATGATTATTTATGATTGTATATGATTATATATGATTATATATGATTATTTATGATTATATATGATTATATATATATGCATATAAATGATTATTATATGATTATATATGATTATATATGATTTTATATGATTATATAAGATTATACATGATTATATATGATTATATATGATTATATATGATTATATATGATTATTATATCATGTATTATTATGAATATGTATATATATATATTACTATATATGTATGTTGTATAATATCCCTTATATATCCTTATATTATATTCCATGGTATTCCGTTACATTCCCATATCCCATGATATTCCCATGATATCCCACAAATCCAAACAAAGCCGTTTCTCATAAAAGCTGCCGGTTTCCAACTGCTCGCCAGGTTGGGCGCTAGCGCAAGCTGCGCAAGCTGCGCCATCACCGGGACTCCACGGCGCACCCGGACACCGGGGCCGGGAGCGGCGAAATTGGAGTTTTCTAGTTTAGAAACTGGATCACTTGACTGAAATTGAAGGGAAAATTCACAACACCTTGAACGGATGACATCATGAGTGCTGCCTTTTCGCTTTTCTTCTACCTTGTTTATTAAGATTGCAGATGGAAACTCTGGAGGGGGACACCCTGCGATTTTCGAGGCGATGGGACAAGCTCGATGTCTTTTTCCAGAGCCAAGAAAAGGCTGGCGAAGTATCGATGGTCCGAGGGTCAAGTCAGTAGGAGCTCATGACGGTTTGCTATGGAAGATCACCATCTTTTAAATATTAAGAGGTAGATCAGCTACTGTATAACTGACCAAACGGCGCGGCCCAGTAGGCTCCTGGCCTTTGGCTCCTTCAAGCCATTGCTTAAATCCCCATTAAACCTGTTTATCTTGGTAAGCACACCATTTCTCGGGTTGACTCCCGACTTTCGTTGGTTTAATCAAACCCGCATCCAACTGTTTCGTGGTTAAATCCCAACTACCATCTGGTTATGACTAACATAGCCATGGACAATCACCATCTTTAATAGGTAAACCATCTATTTCTATGGGCCATCTATACCATGGCTATGTTAAATAACCAGATGGTAATTCAACTGTCCACATCTCAACGAATTCGGACTGGGATGGTCCCAGCGTGCTACTGCTACCCCACATCCCAATCTTCGACCCCTGCCAGCTGCTGCATCAACTCCGGACCGCTCCGGATGCGCCTCACAGGATACGAATAGCTAAGGGGAAATGGCTGGAAATGCGACCAGCCAAATGGTAGATTTACTGACCAAAATGACCCCGATCTGGCTGGGTTCCTTAAATTGAAAAATCAAAAAATGTTTCTGATATGAAATGGGTTGGTCAAATCATGTCAAAACCGCATACAGTTTGATGATGTTTGCTGCTTAGAGAGCTGCTGTTTTGTTGATCTACTTCAAAAAGTTTACTTCACACATCCAATCCCAAAGAGGCTAAAAATCAAAGTGTATGGCTATAACATGCTACCCATCCAGCACAAACACATTGTTATTTTCTTACTCCAAAAGCTTGCGAAACTGTTTTCAGTCTGAAAACTGGTGAAACCTGGTCCTCCAAAGAAACATGCTCTGACTAACCAAAAAGTAGATTTCCCAAAAGGTTGATTTATCGCCAGCATTGTAGTGAAGGTCGTCCTGAATCTCATGTTTTATTGAGGAGATCGCGGGTGTTGGTAGTCACTTGGACATCGCTAAACATGGGGATTGTTTCGATGATTTCAGTGACAAAATCCGGAGATGCTAGCCAAGAAAAATGGGAATGACATCTTAATATTGAAATACATTAAATGGGTCACGAAAAACGGCCCAACTTTGTGAGTGGTCAGCAAAATTGAGCCCATTCTGGCCCATTCTCGCTTTCTTGGGGACAGTTTCAATGGCTGCAGGTGGATCCACGGGGTGAGCTTCCCATCCGTTCATTGGTTACTTCCACATGGTGAGAACACCATTTTTCACATAAATCCATGTATAATCCATGTAATCCATGTAAATCCATGAAAAAAAAAACGATGTTTCATGTTTCACCCCATTCTTCGCCATGTTTGATGTTTGAATCCCATTTAAATCCCCATGTTTCATTGGGAAACAACCACAGCCAGGACATAACGGCTACACCAAGAGCGCCAAAAAAACGCACACTCGCCTCACATTTTCGTCACGGCCCTGCCATTTGGCTTTGGTCACCTGCAAACTGCCGGAAGTTACCTTCTGGTGGATTGACGGAGATGTGAAAAAACATAGGTTCCACAAGAAATGATCTATGAATGGTAATTCTTCCACATCTACAGTTAGCTAAGTTGGTTTGTAGGTTAACTACCATACATCTTATTGTCTATAGCTGGGTGCATGAATCAACTTATATAACTCAGGCATCGGTTGTGGTACCCCAGAACGAGGACTTGAAAAACAGATGCAGGGGTCCAACCCTTCTTGACAATGAGCCAACAGGTCGGAGGATCTCGATAGCATGTGGAGATTGAGGTCTGACCCAGGCTGCCTTCTTTTCAGTTTTTTTGCGGAAACATTTCTTGGAAATTAGGCCCTGAGTTAACATATTGAAAATGGCCAATTTATAGATGATGCACCTATTTGAAAGGGTGATTTTCAGGGATTCTCCATATGTTAAATTACCCGAGGGTAGATCCGGGTAGATGATGTTCCTATTCTTTTGCGAAAATAAGCGACGTCCAGTTTTTGCCAGGTCCGTTCACTGATGGTACACGAAATCATCTCCACTGATGGGCCCCATAACTTCCAACATCTTCCAACCCCACCTCTCAACAAATTTCAGGAACTGACCTTTTTTTGCACCTCACAATTTTTCTTGTGGTACATCGGTATACCGTTATTATCACATATTATCACATATTATCACATAGTATCACATATTATCGCCATTTGGTTCTTTTAAACACTCCAGGTTGAGGCGTTTCATCTCCCTGCAGTTTGCTGCGCCTGGCAGACTTTGTAGCTGTTGAAGCCTGGCAAGCAACTTTGGGCCTGCACATTGTCGAACATGGAGCTAAACGTCTGCCTCACGCGCAAACAAATTGGCCGTCAGATGTTCTTGGGTTTTGTTGTTGGGCGCCCTGATGAAATGGGGCGAGACGTACAGCCTATCCCAAGACTGGACGATTGTTCAGAACCCCCACCCCAATCATCCCCACACAGGGTGGAACTGTATCTCTAAACATCGTTCAAACCACCAACCAGCGATTGGTGACTCGTAGTTTCACTGCCATTTTCTCATAAATTGTCCTTTTTGTAGTTATATATGTTATCTTCATTTTGTAGTCTCTATTTTTGTTTCATTCACCCATGTCTTTGTTTTTTTTATTTATTTGGTTGGTTGACGATGTCAATGGTCCCATCTTTGCTGGCGAAGTCGGAGCTTCCGGGGGCGACTTTTCCCAATTCCACTTCGCCTGGCTTGCGAGGTGCGAAAGTTGATGAAGCAGTAACCTGCCATCGCCGGGTCGGCAGTGGGGCCTCCTTGGATGCCGTGTTTACCCCCAAAACACGCTAGAAAAACCAAAAATCTCACGAAAGTCGTGGTAGTTCTTCGATTTTTTCGGGGGAATGTGTTTATACATAATGATAGATGCTGATGATCATGAAGGTGAAAGATATCATGTGGTTCAAGGCTTCTGGGACGATCCTGGTGATTTTCTTTTTCACCGAAGAACGGTGTTTTTTCACTCTGTGCCCCTCCGTTCAAAGGGAGGGAGATATAATATATATCCGCCGACCCAAACCATCAGCAGGGGGAGTGCGTCAGAGGAAAGGCAAACAGAGCATGGGCCGGCCACTTTGTTAAGTAGCTGCCGAAGAACTTTGCCCATGCACTGCCACGTCTCTGGCCTTCACTGCCTGGCATGGTGCTTCGGTGTGGCGGACTGCATGTTGGAGGCCTGGGAAGTGCATTTCCGAAGCTTGGTTGTGTGGCGACTTCGGACAGATGTTCTGGAGAGTCAGAAAGTGACGTTAGTGGCAAATCTCCAAGCCCCGCCCAGCAGGGCTTCTTTCTCGGCCACATCTGCACTGATGCGGTCGTGTCGGCACCAAGGAAGCAGTTGCCATCTGATTCGTACTGTACAAGGCGAGCATTCCAGCCCAAGACAACCAACCCAGGGCGATCATAGCGTTCTCCAAGTACAACAAACGCCCAAGCATCACCAACTCCTTCTTCCGCCGCACGTACTGGTTTTAGATGTTTGCCACGACCAGCGCAGGAGCCATCAGCATGAACGAGGAGGCGGTCCATGTCTTGCCACTCAAGGGTTGGGTCACATTCATCAATGGCTTGTTGAACTTCAGCAGGACAGTCATAGCCATTGGGATCCTTGTGCAGAACGTCGCCGTATGAGTTCAAGAACTCGACAAGGTCTTCTGATGTGAAGCCAGTTCTCAAGGTCTGACGAGTTTGATGAGTCTTGGTCAGTGGAACTTGCTGGTCGGTGAAGATGATCCTCTCAAGCCCAGTGCGGACTAGTTCACGTTCAGTCCAGTCACAACTGCTCGAAGATACCCGCATTGACACAAGACTTGTAGAACTTCAACTTCAAACAAGCGAGAATGCGAAGAGTGCAAGAAGGTGCCCTCAACATCGTGGAGGTCGGTGTGGCAGAACATGTAATGGAAATGCATCGCATCCCAATCCCTATGTCATGATGTCCAAAAAGGAATGCGTGACAATTGTGACCCCAATGCTTGAGTTCCTGCACAACTTCATCCTCCTTGCCGAAGACGGGGATCTCGATATAGTTGGGAAGCTGCCCAAAATCCGATCCAGGGATGATTCGAATGGGTCGTGTCAGACCGTTCTCAGATGGCTCTGACTGTTCTTGCGTTGTGAGCAGGGTGTTAAGCTGTAAAAGGACTGGACCCGCAACGTTGTCAGGTTCGAGGATTGGCATCAGCCATTGACGAAGTTGAACAACGATGCCATATCCACTTCGGCCCGGTATAGGTCTGTTCTGGAGGAGCGGAACGGTGTCATACTAAGCTTCGCATTGCTGTGTGGGATTGGGATCAAAACATCTGCCCAGGTATCCGATGCTCCCCAGGAATGGGGACCCTCTACGCTGCAACGCCTGGGCAAAGCCTCAGGTGTTGCGCGTATATATATATATATATCAGATTCTGTTCGGGATTTACATTTGGGATATAGACGAACATAGCTATACTACATAAACCCTTTACGAGTATCAACCACTTGCCCTTCATGGTCCCGAATTTCCATCCACTTCTCCAGCGCACCGACATTGCATCGATTTGCAAAGTCGATGGGCAAATACCTCAGACCCAATGTCTTCAAGGGACAAAATCTAAAAAATCTGGAAAATGAACTTCACTTCATTCCACTTTCCAGAGTTTTCCACCTGCCCGAATGAAACTCTCCTGTAAGGCATTGTTGGGGCCGCAAAATTAAGTGTAACAACGGCCATGGGGTTCCCCGGTTTCCCCGGTTTGCCCCCATCTAATTGGGGCCCATGTTCGACAGGTTGGTTTCAACTTCCACGGAAAATGAAATTTCCTTGCAACATCTTGAAACCACCAACAAGATATGCAGGTACATTTACTGTCTTGTTTCCCTCTTCCCAAATGATGAGATGGGTGCAACTCAAGCTAGCTCGTTGGGTGGACTTCCTTTCATGACCAGGTGATTCCACATCCGGAACAGAACTGTGTGAATAAGATATGCTAAAAAATTGGTGCAATATCTGCACACATAATAATTACAAACCATCCTCACAAGCGTGTAGGTGACATGTTTGACCACAGAATTGCTTGAAAATCACACTTTGCCAGATCAAACTTCATCAGGTGTGTCTCTCCTTGACATGATACCCGACCTGCCGTCTGGATACAAACCAAACTGATTTTGAAGGCTTTTGTGCCTTCTTTGTTTCCAATTCAATCAAGAATCAGGGTACGGGTATGGAATAACAAATTTGGGTGTGGCTCAAAAATCAAAAATTTGGCATATCCTATATTTTGGCATCCCGGAACAGTTGTCACTAAATGAGCCATACCCCCCAACCCTAGAGATTGATTCTCCCCCAAGTCCTCCAAAGCACAGCTGCCGGCCATTTATCACATCTCGCGCTGTGTGACTTCTCAACGAAAATCCGCTGGGAGACCACTTCGGGAGACCCAGCAACCCCGCCGTCGCGGGGGTTGAGGTCCTTGCCAGCCTCCAACGACCAAAAGTCGATGTCTTGACCAAAAGTGCCTTCATTTCTCCACATTGGGATGTGGCCATGAGTCAAAATGCTGAGACCCTTTCTTGTTGACACCCAAAAAGCGAAGATTTATGGATGGTCATCCCCTCATTTCAGACGGTTGAAGAATAGCTTTTGAGCACGGGAACACCTTTGTGCGCAGCGCCTGGAGCCCTGGAAATCTCCCCAGAAATGGTGCTGATCCCGGCACCGGAATTGATGACTTCTGAAAAATATGCAATCCAGCCATGTGCCAAAGTATAAAAACTCTATTTTGAGCCTTTAAATTCGAATAAATCATTTGCGTTGAGGATTTTTTCGTATAAAAAAAAGGCGAATCGGGGGACACAGCCACCCGTAATATCCTTGGAGACTGGCACAGTGCTGTCTACAAAAAACGCTTGGCGACCTAGCAGTTGCAAACATTGCGCCAGCCAACCATCCGGCTCAGTAGACCTACTGTATCTAATTCAGCTTTCAATCCTGGCTCACAAAAGGCGGCTGGTTAGGGCCTGCTGTGTCCTCCCAAAAGTCGGTAGCTGGGATGGTTTTGGGGGACCTAAGCCTTAGATGAGTTGCTGAATGTAGATCTGATATCAAGGTTTTTTCAGTGCACCAAACACCAGGAGAATCTGAAGCGGGCCATGGTGACATGATCCTAACCAAGAAATGTGAGTCTGTCAGTGATCCTCACCTTACGTTGAGCACACTATCACTGAAGAATGGCGCAAAAATTATCAACCTCAACCTCCTGAAACAGTAAACATGGAAATGACCAGTTGGACCCATTTTCCAATTCATCATTAGATGTGGGTGTCCCATTTTTTGGCTAGGCTCGCTTGTGCTTCATATGAGGCCAGGAAAATGCTTGTGGTTCCGCAATGTTCGGCCATTTTCCCTCGCTTGTGCGGACCCCCATCCTTTCCGTCATTTCCCCGGCACGACGGCACGCCTGCATTAGATGTGCATTAGCCTCACCAAAACTGCTGATATCATGACATGTTTACCTCATACATTTAATTATAGATTATGTTCCCATCAAAACTCCATTTAATACTTTTTTTATATATTTTTAATTACCATGGTTGATTGCCAGAGAGTAGCTGGGGTAGCAAACTTCACCAGTCTGAGGATTTGAAGCACTCCGCTGTGAACTTTGCAAGATCCAAGGGATGGGCTCAAAAATCTCTGTCTTCGCAGAGATCTCCGTTGGAGTCGGAGATCTAGACCATGATGTGCTCTGCCTGACTCGAGGGATGATTGTGGCTTTTGGGAACAGCTGAAAAACATCCCACGTGAACCTTCTGTGAACTTTGGAAGTTCAAGTTATGAATAGTTATGATGGGTTTGTAACCTCAGACAAGTGGGATATATTTCTAACTTTATGGATGTCCCAATAGTAGACCTAGCGCAAGAAATCGTGGCACGATTCAGGTGCAAATGGGATGACCACACGACTACCCCAGACTTGCTAACCGTTTTCCGACTACCTGGCAGGCTCAGGCAACATCCAAGTAGATACAGTAAGTGGCTGCTATTCGTGTCTGTTGAACAATTAGAAAAGCAAACTTCCTTCGTTTGGATGAAAGAAAATAAAAGTATCCGTCTGCATTCTGCCTAGCTTCTGGTTACAAAGTTTATACTACCTTCTGGTCCTTTTCTGAAAAAGTTGTCTGAGAAAAAGTCCGAGAAAAAACGAGTGGCACTAAGATGTGCAAGGAGTTCATGAACAATATTTCAAAGGTGATCACGTCATGTCTCTAAGGTTCCCATATGTTACCATCAGAATTTCTGGCCCAAAAATCTGGCGGCCTCGAGGCGTCGGGCACTCACCTTCGGCGGTGAATAGCCCATGGATTTGGTACTAGATCTTCATGGCGCCATGATCGGGAATCAAGGGGGTTATTCTACCAGGTGTTGATGTTTTTTCTGGAAGTTCAAGCCTTAAATCGTCAAACATCAGCCAGAAAAAAACGATTCCATCCATGAACATTGATTATGTTCGCATCCATAATCAATGGACTGTTCTGGAATGTTTTTTTTTCTGGACTATCTCCATTCTGAACATTCCATCCATGAAGATCATCATATATCCATGGTGAGGCCAGGTGAGGCCTAGTTTCCACGTCTATGGAACTCAAGCCATCTCTTTTTAGCCGCTGAATACAACATCAACCCATCAAGTTGTGTTAATTTAAAAGATCATCAGTCTGGGTAAATTAGCATAATTCAAAAACCTCAAAAGTTCGGCTATTTGGGGATAATTACCCTATATCACAATTCCCACCATTTCAGTGAGAACTATACTTCATCCAGATCAATCGCTCCTGAGGCTCAGATATTTGGGTTCCTAAGTCACGGGGGTACCCTTTTTATCATCCATTGATTGTGGGGATTTTCCATGAAACCATCCAGGTGCGAGCATTGGGGTAGCTCCATGGGCCATGGAAAAGCTGAAACACCCGGGGCCTCTTTGGTCGCGGGCTTCTCCTGGCGGCCAGTTCAGGATCTCAAAGCCAGAGCGAACTGGCGAACTGGATTTCATCACCGTTTGTTGAACGGGTAAATCATCGATATTAATAGTTAGGCAATGTTCCATAGCAAACTGTTACTGAAGGGCTGTAAGAACATCCCAGTCATCTTTGGCCAACCAACCTAAAGGATCCTAAAGGGCACTGTTGGTAAAACGAGTTTTTTGTTGCGAAATGCGAAATCGCCACATGTTTACTGGTGAAACACCAGCAAAAATGCTTGCAGGTCAAAATTGCAAGCCTTCAACCTGCAACCACAACCTGCTGAGAAGAACCCAACGTACATCCTCACTCCGTTGGTCATCTTCAGTCTGACAGGATGTTGGGTTCCAAAACTTGACCCAAACCCACATGTTACCCTATGGTAAACTAACAGTTTGCTATTCAAAATGGCCCATAGAAATAGATGGTTTACCTATTAATAGCATGGTGATTTTCCATGGCTATGTTAGTCATAACCAGATGGTAGATCATTTTAGCATCCCTACATGGCCATGGCGAGGGACCCACAAATTTTATCTTTGAACCAACGAATGAGCAACGAATTGGTTGGAAGTCAACCTTGAGCCACAGACACATCTCAAATGCGTCAGAGTAATCAAGAGTTTTTGTGCCCAAATAATATCCAAATCTTATAATAGATTAGATAGATTAGATCAGATGATTGTATAGATTAGCCAAATTATACCCAAAGTATATTGGATATCTAATCTAATGTCAATTTCGGATTGATAAACCATGGTTTATTAATTAGGGGGGTACTCCTCCAATAGTCATTTCATCTAGTACTTAAATGGTACCCTCCCAATTAAACAGCCCAGGGGTTTATTATTCCAGGGTTGACATTAATAACTAATAACCATAGTTATAGATAGTTATAGGTTAATAGGGACCATATCATACCATATCCCAACTTATTGGGATTATTACCATAGTTATACCATAATCATCTATCTTGTGATGTTTTCTTCTGAAGTCAGCCGTCTCGTCTCGGCACCACGCACGCCACGCAGCACCTTCTCCTCAGCCAGCTTCTTGGCGAGGTCTTCTGCTGCCTGAACGGGCCGAGCAACATACCCTAGTGGCCCTACTGCTACGGTGTCATCAAACATCACTGGCAGTGGGAAATACCGAACCAAATGCGCATTTAAAATCACTTGCATGATTTTGCAAATGATTTCAGATGGTAAAATCATCGAACTAAACAAGAGATTTTTCCAGCAAGTCATGTTTGACTACCGGAGGGTAGACGATAACAATCACTGGATCAAATTTTTTTCGCTCCTTGGGGCAATGTGAATTCTTGGAATTCAAAAAAAATCCGCCGACCCCGGCCTTTCCCAAGGCAGGGGCGGCACCTGGGACCACCGCAGGTGTGGAACTTGTTTTTCTTGGCTGGGAAAGCTTCCCTGCTCCGCGGCAGCTTCGATCAGCTTGCCGTTTGCCTGCCGTTTGCCTGCCGTTTGCCTCCATTGCCCTCTGTTGTTAAGGCGTCCATGCCTGCTGCTTGCCAGCCTTCAAACCTTTAAATAGCGTGCCGTTTTCCAGCCTTCAAACCTTTCAAACCTCTAAAACCCTTCACATCCTTCGCGGCCGCTTCCACCTGTCGCTTGCCAGCGTTCAAACCTTTCAAACCTCTAAAGCCCTCCAAATCCTTCGAGGCAGCTTCCACCAAGCCCTGCTGTGAGCCTTTGCTCCAGCGCTGCAGCCTGCCGTTTGCCTGCACATAGCCCTCTGTTCTTAGGGCGTTCAAGCCTGCCGCTTGCCAGGCTCCAAACCCTTAAAACCTCTAAAATGCTCCAAATCCATCACGGCAACTTCCACCAAGCCCTGCTGTGAGCCTTTGCTGTTCCAGCGTTGGAACCTGCTGTTTGCCTGCATAGCCCTCTGTTGTTAGGGCGTCCATACCTAGGGCTCCTCGCGGCAGCTGCCACCAAGCCTTGTGGCCGTAAGCCTCTGCTGTTCCAGCGCTGCAGCCTGTCGTTTGCCTGCACATAGCCCTCTGTTCTTAGGGCGTTCAAGCCTGCCGTTTGCCAGGCTCCAAACCCTTAAAACCCCTAAAATGCTTCAAATCCGTCGCAGCAGCTTCCACCAAGCCCTGCTGTGAGCCTTTGCTGTTCCAGCGTTGGAACCTGCCGTTTGCCTGCATAGCCCTCTGTTGTTAGGGCGCCAAGCCTTGTTGGCCGTAAGCCCGTGCTGTTCCAGCACTGCAGCCTGCCGTTTGCCTGCACATAGCCCTCTGTTCTTAGGGCGTTCAAGCCTGCCGTTTGCCAGGCTCCAAACCCTTAAAACCCCTAAAATGTTTCAAATCCGTCGCGGCAACTTCCACCAAGCCCTGCTGTGAGCCTTTGCTGTTCCAGCGTTGGAACCTGCTGTTTGCCTGCATAGCACTCTGTTGTTAAAGCGTCCATGCCTAGGGCGGCAGCTCGCGGCAGCTGCCACCATAGCCTTGTTGGCCGTTTAGGCCTCTGCTGTTCCAGCGCTGCAGCAGCTGCTGCGTTTGCCTGCACATAGCCCTCTGTTCTTAGGGCGTTCAAGCCTGCCGTTTGCCAGGCTCCAAACCCTTAAAACCCCTAAAATGCTTCAAATCCGTCGCGGCAGCTTCCAGCAAGCCCTGCTGTGAGCCTTTGCTGTTCCAGCGTTGGAACCTGCTGTTTGCCTTCATAGCCCTCTTAGGGCGTCCATGCCTAAGCCTGCCGTTTGCCAGGCTCCAAACCCTTAAAACCCCTAAAATGCTTCAAATCCGTCGCGGCGGCTTCCACCAAGCCCTGCAGCAGCTTCCACCAGGCGCTCTGGCCGCAGGCCTTTTTTGTCGGAACGTTGGGGCCCGCCGTTTGCTTCCATCGCGTCTGTTGTTACCGCGTACATTCCTTCTGTTTGCCAGCTTTCAAACCTCTCAAATGCTTCGCGGCAGCGGTTTTGCCATTGCCATCTGTTCCTACGGCAAGCGCAGCGTCTTTCTATTTCATGTCCTTTTTTTCTTTGCCTTTTTGTCGGGAACGTGCCAATGTTTCATCTGGCATCGTTTTCCCGACGCCGTGACATGCGTCACCGCAATGCGCCCACATGACTGCGATGACCAAACAACAGTTGAGCACACCGGGCAACTGTGTGCATGACACCGTGTTTTCTTGCTGGCCGCACCGTCCTTCACATAAAATTGGTTCCCACAGATTGTTCGATGGTTGACTTGCCCTGTCCTGACATCGCTTCTCACACTTTCCTTGCAAAATGGACACCTGTAAACGATGCCTTTCTCTTTCACAACGCCATCGATCCTGGACAGAAAATTTGTTGCCACAGACTGTTCGATGGTCTATTTGCCCTGTCCTAACATCGCTTCTTACATGTCCCTTGCAAAATGGACACCTGTAAACTACTCCTTTCTCTTTAACAACGCCATCCTGAACAGAAAATTGGTTCCCACAGACTGTTCGATGGTCTATTTGCCCTGTCGCCACGTTACTGGCCACATGCCCATTGCAGGCGGGACAAACGTAGTCATACAGTTTCGCACAGGGGCGTCCTTCCCTGACTCGGAAATAGTTACCGCATGTGCGGCGGTGATGGACTTTGCCTGTTCGTATAGTACTGCTTACAGACTGATTGCAATGCGGACACACGCATTCGAACATTTTGCCTTTGGCAGTGGCTTCTGCTCGCTTCATTGGCCGCACCGCCCTCTGCCTTCCGTTGCTATCTTCCTGTTTGCCACGTACATCTGCAGGCCCTTCTGTGGTCATTTCTGTTCCGTTCTCTTGTCTGCGATGTTTTGCTTTCCGCTCTTCTTCCTTCGTTTGGGGGTTCTCCTGTTCTCTATTCCGTTTTCGTTCTGCGATGGCATCCCAGACATCGGCAATGGCGCGTGCCTTTTTTTCTTCCGCTGCCCTCCTCGCGACTTTCGCCTGCGTTGCAGCTACCCACTGTACCGCTTTGCTGATGCTCCCCCGGGGAATGGAGCAATTCCAGCAGTTTCTACAGACTTGGTCACCATTACAAGAACGATGTTGCGCAGTCTCTATCTATCTATCTATCTATCGATCGATCGATCGATCTATCGATCTATCGATCTATCGATCTATCGATCTATCGATCTATCTATCTATCTATCTATCAGTCTGTCTATCTATCTATCTATCTACCTATCTATCTATCTATCTCTCTATCTCTCTATCTCTCTATCTCTCTATCTCTCTATCTCTCTATCTCTCTATCTCTCTATCTCTATCTCTCTATCTCTCTATCTATTGTCTATCAATCTACCTATCTATCTATCTGTCTGTCTATCTATCTATCTATCTCCATCTCCATCTCCATCTCCATCTCCATCTATCTATCTATCCATCCATCCATCCATCCATCCATCTCTCTCTCTCTCTGTCTATCTCTCCCTCGATCTCTCTCTCTCTATCTATCTATCTATCTATCTGTCTGTCTGTCTGTCTGTCTGTCTGTCTGTCTGTGTGTCTGTGTGTCTGTGTGTCTGTGTGTCTGTGTGTCTGTGTGTCTGTGTGTCTGTGTGTCTGTGTGTCTGTGTGTCTGTGTGTCTGTGTGTCTGTGTGTCTGTGTGTCTGTCTGGCTGTCTGGCTGGCTGGCTGGCTGTGTCTGCTGTGGCTGTCTCTGTCTCTGGCTGTCTGTCTGCCTGTCTGGCTGGCTGGCTGTCTGGCTGTCTGGCTGTCTGGCTGTCTGGCTGTCTGGCTGTCTGGCTGTCTGGCTGTCTGGCTGTCTGGCTGTCTGGCTGTCTGGCTGTCTGTCTGGCTGGCTGTCTGTCTGTTTGTCTGTCTGTCTGTCTGTCTGTCTCTCTCTCCCTCTCTCTACAGGACCCCCAAATAGGAGGGGTCGGCGGCACCAGGGCGCTAGCCCATTTTATATGCCTCCGAAACTAGACGACGGCTGGCCCGAGAGCGAAAAACACGTTTTTCAAGCAGCTCTGAGGATGGTAGTCGTAAAGGATAGTCGGTGAATAGTTGGTGATTTTTATATGAGCTATGGAAGGATATGGTGTGAAAAAATCAGAAAACACAACCACCAAAGAATGAATGCATGAATGCAACACCATGTCCACAGAGACAGAACACAGACACTTTTACGCACAAAGCATGTTACACACAGAAGCTTTTACACACAGACGCTTTTACACACAGACGCTTTTGCACACAGAAGCTTTAACACACAGAAGCTTTTACACAGCTTTTACGCACGGACCCTTTAACACACAGAAGCTTTTACACACAAGAGCTTTTACACACAGACGCTTTTACACACAGACGCTTTCACACACAGAGATTTTTACACACAGACGCTTTCACACACAGAGGCTTTTACACACAGAAACTCCTGTACATACAGACGCTTTTACACAGACACTTTTTCACACAGACGCTTTTACACACAGACGCTTTTACACACAGACGCTTTTACACACAGACGCTTTCACACACAGAGGCTTTTACACACAGAAACTCCTGTACACACAGACGTTTTTACACAGACACTTTTTCACACAGACGCTTTTACACACAGACGCTTTTATATACTGACGATTTACACACAGACGCTATTACAGAAAGACGATTTTACACACAGACGCTTTTACACACAGACGCTTTTACACACAGACGCTTTCACACACAGAGGCTTTTACACACAGAAACTCCTGTACATACAGATGCTTTTACACAGACACTTTTTCACACAGACGCTTTTACACACAGACGCTTTCACACACAGACGCTTTTACGCACAGACCCTTTTACACACAGAAGCTTTTACACACAAGAGCTTTTACACACAGACGCTTTTACACACAGACGCTTTTACACACAGAGATTTTTACACAGAGACGCTTTCACACACAGAGGCTTTTACACACAAGAGCTTTTACACACAGACGCTTTTACACAAACACAGACGCTTTTACACACGGACGCGTGCGCGACACCTCAAACTCGCAATTTTTCCTCAGTTTTTGACGTCCAACGTCCATTTCGTGCGAAAGGGTCGCGATGGACGGGTTAAACTCGCAATTTTTCTCAGTTTTTCACGTCCAACGTCCATTTCGTGCGAAAGGGTCGCGATGGACGGGATAAACTCGCAATTTTTCCTCAGTTTTTGACATCCAACGTCCATTTCGTGCGAAAGGGTCGCGATGGACGATAAACTCGCATTTTTCCTCAGTTTTTGACGTCCAACGTCCATTTGCGAAAGGGTCGCGATGGACGGGTTAAACTCGCAATTTTTCCTCAGTTTTTGACGTTCAACGTCCATTTCGTGCGAAAGGGTCGCGACGGACGGTGTAAACTCGCAATTTTTCCTCAGTTTTTGACGTCCAACGTCCATTTCGTGCGAAAGGGTCGCGACGGACGGTGTAAACTCGCAATTTTTCCTCAGTTTTTGACGTCCAACGTCCATTTCGTGCGAAAGGGTTGCGTTTCGTGGCGCTCCGGCGGCACCGCCCCCGCCTTAAGAGAGAATAGAAAGAAGAGCGAGAGGAGATCTGCAGATGTGAAGGTGTGAAGATGTAGATCAGCAGGTGTGAGGGTGTGAAGATTTAGATCTGCAGATGTGAAGGTGTGAAGATCTAGATCTGCAGGTGTGAGGGTGTGAAGATGTAGTATGACGGCTGCTTTTTTTTTGCGAAGAACCCTTCGCAGGCGCTCTCGGGAATGAAGCAACCAATGGCGAGTATAACCAGTTCAAATCGATATCTTTTCATGCGAACAATGTGTGAAATGTGGTGAAATCATGCCTGCTGAAATCGACGGACGAGCAACGAAAAAAGGCGATCGTCGAAGTGCAGCTTCGCTTCATGTCGTAGGTTGTTGCTTAGAAAGGTAGACAGATAGGATAGGATAGGACAAGAATGGAATAAGATTAGAATAAAACTAGATAAGAATTAGATTAGATTTGGCTAGATTAGATTAGATTAGATCAGCTTGGCTTTGATCAGCTTGGCGTAGCGTTGCCCTAGATTAGACTAGATTAGATTAGATTAAAATAAGAATTAGAATTACTGTAGGATTTAGGATTTGGGGTTTAGGATTGGATTGGATTGGATAGTTGGATTAGATTACAGTAGATAGATTAAGATAGATTAAATCAGATGATTGTATAGATTAGATAGATTAGATAAGATTATGTTAGGTTAAGTTAGATCAGTTAGATAAGATTCAGATTTAGATTCCGATTCGGGATTTAGATTTAACTAGATTACATTAGATAGATTAGGTAGATCAGGTCAGACTAGAATAGAATAGAATGGAATAGAACGGAATAGAGCGAAATAGACCGAGAGACTTATATACAATATAGAGAGAGAGAGATAGATAAGATAAGATAAGATGAGATAAGATAAGATCAGATAAGATAAGATAAGATAAGATATACAGACAGACAGACAGACAGACAGACAGGCAGGCAGACAGGCAGGCAGGCAGGCAGACAGACAGACAGGCAGGCAGACAGACAGACAGACAGCTAGATAGCTATATAGATAGCTATAAAGATAGCTATATAGATAATATAGATAATATAGATAATATAGATAGCTAGATAGATAGCTAGATAGCTAGATAGCTAGATAGCCCGATAGATCGATAGATCGATAGATCGGTAGATCGGTAGATCGGTAGATAGACAAAAAGACAGATAGCTGACATCCCCATTAATCAGTTCTTAGCTTGGTATCCTTGTTCTACATCTAAGGTGACGTCGTTTCGGGGTTGCTTCAATCCAATTGGGTGAAAATCATCCAGGCCTTCTTGGCTTTTTCGTGCACTGTCTCCACCTTTGGGACCTCTGGGGCCTTTGGTGCTTCTGGGGCCTCTGATGCTTCCACCTGTAGTGAATCACAGCGAAAAACCTGAAGACCAAGAGATTGGAGACCACCAAACACTGATGGTTTTTTTTCTCAGCACTCCTGTCGACTCATTTTGTTCACACTTTAGCGAACTCATTCTTTTTGCGTGCAGAAAACGGTGTACGGTGTACGTTTCCACTAGCCAACCATCCGAGTGGAGGATCAGAAAAAAAAAATCCAGATAAAAAAAAAATAAAACACTAGGATCTTTAAAAAATTATTGCCTATTTCATCTAAATTTAGTGGTAGGTTAGGTTTAATTTTTTTTTGATCTGGAAATATTTTTTCTTGATCCCCCGAGGCTAGGGGAGATCAAGCTGCTCGAAAGCATCAAAAAAAAATTATTCAGTTTTTTTTTTCCCTTTTCCCTTTTTCTTTCCTTCGTTCCTCCCTCCCTCCCTCCTTCCTTCCTTCTTTCCTTTGTTCCTTCCTTCCTTCTTTTCGGGCGCGAAATTAAGTTGGCAATTTTTTATTTTTTTTGGCAATTTTTTTTTTGGTCGTCCAAGCTCCCTTCCTTGCTTTTTGCACCTAAAATCTCTCATTTGCTGCATTTTGTAGCTAAAATCTCTCATTCGCACTGTTCATCAATTTTTCCAGTGGTTTCATGAATTTTTCCATGGTGTTTATCGAGTTTTCCATTGTTTTCATTGATTTTTCCATGATTTTCATGGAATTTCCAAGATGTTCATGGATTTTCCATGGTTTTCGTCAATTTTGCCATAGTATTCTTCAATTTTTCCATGGTTTTCTTCAATTGCTCTATGGTCTTCTTCGATTGTTCCGTGGTTTCTTCCATTTGTCAATGGAATTTTCTATGTTTTTCTTCAATTTTTGTATGGTGTTCATTCATGTTTTACTGGTTTTCATTCATTGTTCCAAAGTTTTCATTGATTTTTACATTGTTTTCATTGTTTTTTTTTCCGAAGTGTTCATTGATTTTTGGAGATACATGATGTGCAAACTATAAACTGTAGATGTATAGAGGCATACATGCATAACTAATCATGACTATATGCATATGTATATCAATGTATTTACAAGTGTAATTAATATATCTGCAGGGTTTGGTTTTAGGGTTTATTTAGGGTTGCTTTATGGTTTATTCTAGATTTGTTTAAGGTCTATTTAGGGTTGGTTTTAAGGTTTCTTTCGGGCTGGTTTAGGGTCTGTTTAGGGTTTGTTTAGGGTTGGATTAGGGGTTATTTAGGGATACAACATGTACATACAAATAACTATACTTATGTGGACGCATATGCATGCACATGATTATTTACAGTTTATTTTGGGATGAAAGCTGTGCATATAAACAACCATATGTATATATATATATATATATAAATATATATACAATATATATATATATATACATTGATAGATATAGATAGATTTAGATAGAAATAGATAGATACAGATAGATCTTCCTTCCTTCCTTCCTTCATTCCTTCCTTGCTTCCCTCCCTCCCTTCCTTCCTTCCTTCCTTCCGTCCTTCCTTCCTTCCTTCCTTCCTTCGTTCCTTCCTTCCTTCCTTCCTTCCTCCCCTTTCCTTCCTTTCCTTTTCTTTCCTTTTCCTTCTCTCCTACTAGTTGCTATTGTTTTTAGACCGATTTTTTTTTTGATCCGGATTTTTTTTCTTGATCCGGAAAATTGTTTTCTTGATCCGGAAAAAAAAATTAACCCCTCCCCCCAACCATCCTTCCACAGGCAAATACCACAATGTTCACGCTTTCATTGCCTTTGCGTACACTGGTGTTTGACTACATTTGGGCACCCAAAAGACTGCACAGGAACCCAAAAAATCGAATCTATCGTCTTGACCTAACATTCGCCAGATCAAACCTATATAAATTAAGAAACCCGTTCTTTTAAAGGGTTCAAACAGTTATTACAAAGGTCCACCATGGTCCACCCGTTCCCCGCCCTAATTCCCTTCTGTGCCTTTGGGACCTCTGGGGCCTTTGGTGGTTCTGGCGCTTCCACCTGTACACAGCCAATCACAGCGATGGCTCTGGTGCTGCCAGCAGGGTGCAAATGAGAAAGAAATGAAAAGAATTGCAAGAATCAAAAGGGTGCACAAATCATCACAAATCATCCAGCATGAAAAAACCATGAAAAAACCCAGAAATCCGAATAAAATCCGGTTCATGCCATTTGAAGCCTTGGGGTCCACAAAGAAACAGTCCTGATGAACAGTCTCTGTACTCTTGTCTTAGGGAACTGATTCTACGTGCAAGCTTGTATCAGCTTGCCATTCGGACACATTCGGATCCATGTTTGTTCAGTGCGGAACACCCAACAACTCAAAAAGCAAATACCAGGACTTCATGCTTTCGCTGCCTTTGTGTGGACATGTGTGTGACCACATTTGGACACCCGAAAGACCACACAGGAACCTCAAAAAAATAAATCTGATCGCGTGCAGAATTCACCTCCAATGCACTAGACCTTACGTTCTTTCAAAAGGGTCAAAAAAGCTACAAAGGACCATCATGATTCCCGTGCCTTTGGGACCTCTGGGGCCTTTGGTGGTTCTGGCACTTTCACCTGTACACAGCCAATCACAGCGATGGCTCTAGTGCTGCCAGCAGGGTGCAAATGAGAAAGAAATGAAAAGAATTGCAAGAATCAAAAGGGTGCACAAATCATCACAAATCATCCAGCATGAAAAAAACATGGAAAAACATAGAAATCCGAATAAAATCCGGTTCATGCCATTTGAAGCCACTTGGGGTCCACAAAGAAACAGTCCTGATGAATCGTCTCTGTACTCTTGTCTTAGGGAACTTATTCTACGTGCAAGCTTGTATCAGCTTGCCATTCGGACACATTCGGATCCATGTTTGTTCAGTGCGGAACACCCAACAACTCAAAAAGCAAATACCAGGACTTCATGCTTTCGCTGCCTTTGTGTGGACATGTGTGTGTGACCACATTTGGACACCCGAAAGACCGCACAGGAACCTCAAACAAATAAATCTGATCGCATGCAGAATTCACCTCCAATGCACTAGACCTTACGTTCTTTCAAAAGGGTCAAAAAGCTACAAAGGTCCATCATGATTCCCGTGCCTTTGAGACCTCTGGGGCCTTTGGTGGTTCTGGCACTTCCACCTGTACACAGCCAATCACAGCGATGGCTCTGGTGCTGCCAGCAGGGTGCAAATGAGAAAGAAATGAAAAGACTTGCAAAAGGGTGCACAAATCATCACAAATCATCCAGCATGAAAAAAACATGAAAAACACATAGAAATCCGAATAAAATCTGGTTCATGCCATTTGAAGCCACTTGGGGTCCACAAAGAAACAGTCCTGATGAATAGTCTCTGTACTCTTGTCTTAGGGAACTTATTCTACGTGCAAGCTTGTATCAGCTTGCCATTCGGACACATTCGGATCCATGTTTGTTCAGTGCGGAACACCCAACAACTCAAAAAGCAAATACCAGGACTTCATGCTTTCGCTGCCTTTGTGTGGACATGTGTGTGACCACATTTGGACACCCAAAGGACTGCACACGAACCAGGACAATCGAATCTATCCACATTCAGCTAACATTCGCCAGACCTTCAAACCTATAAAGCCCCTTCCTTCAAAGGGGCCAACAAGCTACAAAGATCCATCATGGTCCACCACCCCTTTCCCGCCCTGATTCCCTTCTGTGCCTTAGGAAGTTCTGGAACCTTTGGGACCTCTGGGGCCTTTGGTGGTTCTGGCACTTCCACCTGTACACAGCCAATCACAGAAATGGTTCTGGTGCTGCCAAAAGGGTGCAATTGGGAAATGTTAAGAGTTGCAAGAATCAAAATGGTGCACAAAAAAGAACCTCACAAATCATCCAGCATGAAAATAACGTGGAACAAAAGAATGAAAAATCAAATGAAATCCGTTTTGTGCCATTTGAAGCCACTTGGGGGCCCGAAAGAAACAGTCCTCATGAATATTATTTGTACTCTTGTCTTGGCAAACCCTTTTGACGCTATAGAATAGTGATATAACCAGAAGAAATTGGCACCCTGTTGCAGTCGGGGGTACGTTATCAAAATGTGCTTCATGTTGGCAGGGCAAACCGGTTTTATTGGTTCCTTCCCTTTCAAGACATCAGAGCCTCTTCAACAGTTCACAAAAACACGCGTCTCTTGTTCCAAAATGAAGGTTTCCTAAAATGGGGGCACACCAAAACCATAGATTTCAATACTAAACTGAAACTGGTCTACTTTAGATGATTTGGGGGTACCCACATCTAAGAAACCCCCAAATGGCTTCAACGATCAAGGGCGATCGCGTATCAGCTTGCCATGCGGATCCATTTTTGTTCAGTGCGGAACCCCAACAAGCCCCCCCTCAATGAGCACGTTGCCAAGGGCACCCAAGGACTGCACTACAACCAGGCAATCGAATCCATCCACTTCAGCTAACATGCGCCATTGACCTTCAAACCTATAAAGCCCCTTCCTTCAAAGGGGCCAACAAGCTCAAAGATCCATCATGGTCACCACCCCCTTTCCGCCCCCCTGATTCCTTCTGTGCCTTAAGGAAGTTCTGGAACCTTTGGGACCTCTGGGGCCTTTGGTGGTTCTGGCACTTCCACCTGTACACAGCCAATCACAGAAATGGTTCTGGTGCTGCCAAAAGGGTGCAATTGGGAAATGTTAAGAGTTGCAAGAATCAAAATGGTGCACAAAAAAGAACCTCACAAATCATCCAGCATGAAAATAACGTGGAAAAAAAGAATGAAAAATCAAATGAAATCCGCTTTGTGCCATTTGAAGCCACTTGGGGGCCCGAAAGAAACAGTCCTCATGAATACTGTATTATCTGTACTCTTGTCTTGGCAAACCCTTTTGACGCTATAGAATAGTGATATAACCAGAAGAAATTGGCACCCTGTTGCAGTCGGGGGTACGTTATCAAAATGTGCTTCATGTTGGCAGGGCAAACCGGTTTTATTGGTTCCTTCCCTTTCAAGACATCAGAGCCTCTTCAACAGTTCACAAAAACACGCGTCTCTTGTTCCAAAATGAAGGTTTCCTAAAATGGGGGCACACCAAAACCATAGATTTCAATACTAAACTGAAACTGGTCTACTTTAGATGATTTGGGGGTACCCACATCTAAGAAACCCCCAAATGGCTTCAACGATCAAGGGCGATCGCGTATCAGCTTGCCATGCGGATCCATTTTTGTTCAGTGCGGAACACCCAACAACCCTTCAAGGAGCACCTGCAATGGCACCCGAAGGACTGCACATGAACCAAGCCAATCGAATCTATCCACATTCAGCTAACATTCGCCAGACCTTCAAACCTATAAAGCCCCTTCCTTCAAAGGGGCCAACAAGCTACAAAGATCCATCATGGTCCACCACCCCTTTCCCGCCCTGATTCCCTTCTGTGCCTTAGGAAGTTCTGGAACCTTTGGGACCTCTGGGGCCTTTGGTGGTTCTAGCACTTCCACCTGTACACAGCCAATCACAGAAATGGTTCTGGTGCTGCCAAAAGGGTGCAACTGAGAAATGCTAAGAGTTGCAAGAATCAAAATTGTGCACAAAAAAAAACATCACAAATCATCGAGCATGAAAATAACGTGGAACAAAAGGATGAAAAATCAAATGAAATCCGTTTTGTGCCATTTGAAGCCACTTGGGAGCCCGAAAGAAACAGTCCTCATGAATATTATCTGTACTCTTGTCTTGGCAAACCCTTTTGACGCTATAGAATAATGATATAACCAGAAGAAATTGGCACCCTGTTGCAGTCGGGGGTACGTTATCAAAATGAGCTTCATGTTGGCAGGGCAAACCGGTTTTATTGGTTCCTTCCCTTTCAAGACATCAGAGCCTCTTCAACAGTTCACAAAAACACGCGTCTCTTGTTCCAAAATGAAGGTTTCCTAAAATGGTGGCACACCAAAACCATAGATTTCAATACTAAACTGAAACTGGTCTACTTTAGATGATTTGGGGGTACCCACATCTAAGAAACCCCCAAATGGCTTCAACGATCAAGGGCGATCGCGTATCAGCTTGCCATGCGGATCCATTTCTGTTCAGTGCGGAACACCCAACAACCCTTCAAGGAGCACGTGCAATGGCACCCAAAGGACTGCACACGAACCAGGACAATCGAATCTATCCACATTCAGCTAACATTCGCCAGACCTTCAAACCTATAAAGCCCCTTCCTTCAAAGGGGCCAACAAGCTACAAAGATCCATCATGGTCCACCACCCCTTTCCCGCCCTGATTCCCTTCTGTGCCTTAGGAAGTTCTGGAACCTTTGGGACCTCTGGGGCCTTTGGTGGTTCTGGCACTTCCACCTGTACACAGCCAATCACAGAAATGGTTCTGGTGCTGCCAAAAGGGTGCAATTGGGAAATGTTAAGAGTTGCAAGAATCAAAATGGTGCACAAAAAAAAACATCACAAATCATCCAGCATGAAAATAACGTGGAACAAAAGAATGAAAAATCAAATGAAATCCGTTTTGTGCCATTTGAAGCCACTTGGGAGCCCGAAAGAAACAGTCCTCATGAATATTATCTGTACTCTTGTCTTGGCAAACCCTTTTGACGCTATAGAATAATGATATAACCAGAAGAAATTGGCACCCTGGGGGTACGTTATCAAAATGTGCTTCATGTTGGCAGGGCAAACCGGTTTTATTGGTTCCTTCCCTTTCAAGACATCAGAGCCTCTTCAACAGTTCACAAAAACACGCGTCTCTTGTTCCAAAATGAAGGTTTCCTAAAATGGGGGCACACCAAAACCATAGATTTCAATACTAAACTGAAACTGGTCTACTTTAGATGATTTGGGGGTACCCACATCTAAGAAACCCCCAAATGGCTTCAACGATCAAGGGCGATCGCGTATCAGCTTGCCATGCGGATCCATGTTTGTTCAGT